ATATATATATATATATATATATATATATATATATATATATATATATATATATATATATATATATACGTGCCTAAAAACGAGCGTGGAATAAACCAAGTCAGCTATATTGCAGAATGGATTATAAATGAGTCTCGTTTTCGCTGATGTCATTCCGTGTTGTAGTGGCACGATGGAGGTTTCTCCATCTCATTTCTCCAATTTAGTTTATCCAAATCCTATTTCCGGGCATACTGGAAGAGGAGAAAATTAAATAAGCACAATTCTGACATGTTGTCATGGCGACGACCACGTGTTCACAAATGACGAGGTGTACGGAAGAACTTCTTATACTTTTGGCGGTCACATTATCGAACGGAATCGCCAAAGCTTAAAGAAGCATGCCATGCGAAGCAGTGTGAAAGACCGGTCGATGAACAAAGACACTCCCTAAAGGGACACTGCTAACCAACTTCATGGAAAATTCAAATTTGCAAACTAGTGTCCTGGAAGGGTGCAATATGCGAATAAGTTTCACGCTAAGTCAGAATTATTCAAGTACTCCTCAGCGAATCGTCCAGTCAGTTGAACTGCACCGGAGATAGTGGACAGCCTTATAAAACTCTTGAGTCCAAGGGAAGCTCCGGCGACTAGTCTCTGTAGGTGTCGACTGTAGCGGAGAAGTATGACTGGTTTGACCATAAATAAGTCTTGAGCTTTTCAGCCGTGTTCTCTTATTTCAATATGATACCCAGCGAATTTCAGTGGACAGAATCATAGGCGGAAGTCGGTAAAGCGGGCCAGAATTATTGTAGCATTGTTCTAAGATCGGATGAGGGGTGAACATCCAATCAACACAATCCGTGTAACGATTGGAGCCGCCTTGATTTGCTCGAACACGCGTCTCTTACTGCTGTGAAGCAATTAAGTAGTGTTATTGTGAGCAATCTGATCACCACGCAGATTAGACTGATGCGATAGTAGTTCTCACATACAGTCCTGACGCCTTTTTGGGGATAGGCAACAGGATGGAGAGTAAGGTTACCATTTCCAGATCTAATGGCGAATGCGGAAGATTGAGCAAGACTGGTACTCCTTTTTTAATATCTCTAGTGGAATAATGTCCTTTTAGGTCTTTCTACGGTTCAGTTCCTAATCGCCGAGACGAATTCCTCTCTGCTTGGTGGCACACTGTTGATCGGGCATAGTTCATTTTCATGCTACCGCTGGGCGATCGGATTATCTAGTCGTACGATTCAGTAGCTGACCAGTGTTCAACTTACCTCAGTAATCGTTGTTCGCTTTCTTGCATAAGGCTCCCTAGGTTAAGCTGAACGACACATTGGAATTTTTCCGGAAATAGCATGAATGATGTGGACGAGCTTTCAGATGTCTCCGACGCTTGCAGTGACCTCAATTTCGTTTGCTATTCTTCCACCTATCTATCCTCTCAGAGCGAGTGGGGTAACCTCGAAAAGCATATACTTCGGGGAAACTTGTGGACTCGTGCTTTTACGGCCGTAACAAACGGAGGAAGTGTTTGTTTAGAGATTCAGGCCTACGGATATCGTACCACCTTCTGTAGGTGGCCACTTGTTCCAGTGGACGATCGCAATTACTTAAGGCGCCTAACCTCAGCAGTTTCCCAACCCTGGAGCAACAACTGCAGATTAGGGGAGGTGCGGTAGACGACAATCAAAACACCAAATCCTAGTAGCTTTCGATGTTTTAGTATTTCACTTCCTGAGCTGAATGCGACTAGGTGCGTCCCCGGGTTGTGGATAGGGGATATCTTTCACTGGAGGAAGTTAGCTGTGAATAAGCTGGGGTATACCGCAACAAAGAAGCAGTCGCGAACACAGTGGCAGAACTACCAGGGTGTGGTGGATTTCAGGCTAGTCACCTGCTTCCTGCTCAAAAGCCACATAAGCCCAATGACGGTGTAGTGACAAAGGTCGAGGTGACTGGCTTTTTAAAACTAACGTCATTGATCCCCTCACCTCGAGATGAAGGATTACTTCCTGCTGCCTTGCAGTTCGAACTTGGTTGTACAAAGGCTAGAGGAGCGCCCCTCAAAAAAAAAACGCCGAGTGACGCTGCGGACGTCTCTCGTGCGAAACTCCCAAGTAACTTCATGATCATGATCAAGTAACTTCCTTGTATTGAATTTACGATAGAGCATTTTCGGGAAGCAGAAAGTTGCTGCTAATTAGAATTCAATAAAGAAAGAGTGGCAGCATCGGTGAGGTTTACCCGAATCATAAATAGGGTATTCCATAAAGACGACAAAGTGAAGGAAATAAACAAACGGGAATCCATTGCAAATTTTACTTAGCACTCGGTCAAATGCTGAATGTGATTGAAATTCGTATGTGGGCTGGTGTGCACCGATTAGATATTGGCAACCAAATGAACAATGCGAACACAGTGACCGTGTATTATGGGTGAATTTGATAGTAAACGAAGCGCAAATCCGTAGGATGAAATCAGGAAAAGAGCTCAAATTTGGGGAGCAAAAAAAACATTTTCCACATTAGGCAGCAAATAGGAATGTACACACTGTTAGTGGAAGTAGCAACAAAGTCCAGTTCAGCCGGTGATGTTGGCACTTGATTCCTCACTCGGCGGGCGCGATTATAAAAGCTTGAGCTACAAAAAGGCCCAGTTCGTTTGAAGCACAAGTTTCAGACTTCTCACAAGTGACAGGAAAATTCCACTTGAAATCCTTGTGAGACAAGAATATTTTCACTGAAGGGTGGAGCGAAGAGCCAATCCTCGGGGCTATAAACAAATGAAACGGTCACTACCAGTAAAATTCTCAGAGGTTAGAAAAACTCGAACGGCAGTAAACCTTTCAGGACAAGAAGTTTGAACTGGCCTCAGAACTTCCCAACATACTATCGCAAGATTTACCGAGCGATCAAGTGTATTGGGGAATTGGAGTCCCATCTGGAGGGTGCATGATACGATCGACTAGACATCCCCCACCCCTAAAGGATTTTGGACTCAACCGGCACGGTTACGAAAGCCTCAGCATGCTCGGGGATGGGTGTCTAGAGTCGCGGCTGGTCACACTCCCCTTGCACCTCGCTAAATGCTTCCATACGACCAAGCGACTCGAATAACCTCTGCTGAGGTAGCCCTACTCACTGCCTTTTCGTGGCCATGATCTCACGGTCCCCAGCCAGGTACTATAAAGGGACCTACGTGACCAAGGTTTTCATATCTTCATGACAGGTATGAGTTTGACAACCCTTGATCTTTTCCAACCGATACATCGCTTGCCGTGTCAACCTATCTGTTAAAATGCGTAGCACATGTCTTCAACCAACGTAATTTATGGAAGTCAACTACTTGCTCCAGTGGACGACCGCAAATGCCTAAAACTCAGCATTCCTCGTCCAGTTACCACATCAGACTTGTGCAATGCGACGTAGACAGTGGTGTTCGAACATCGACAATCGATTTTCATCCTCTTCCCGCGGTGAACAAGTCTCTGCACCGTAAAGCAGCACTGACCGGACTACTGCAGCATACACTCGACTCTTCACAGACAGCCGGATGTCACGACGGCGCCACCGATGTCTCAAGTTGGTAAATGACAACCGAGCCTTTTGTATGCGCGACGACACTTCATTTGT